TCCCGGGACACCGCACAGCACCAAACAGGGCCCGGCGGCTGGGAGCGATTCGCTGCCGTTTGGCTGCGAGACCGCAACAACTCCGGCAGCCCGCGGACTCAGCTGCGGGGAAGAGATGAACCAGCCCAGCTGGACTGGGGGGGGACGGGGCACAGAGCAGGAAACATCGCTGGAGAGGGAAGCGGAGATACTCATCAGTCGCCTGTTTTCTCCTCCAGCCTACCGCTGTTCTCAAATCAATAGTTTAGGGTCAGGCAGGCCAGTTCTTGATGGTGCAAGTTGGTGAAAGTCTTCCACAGAAGGTGTTTTATAGATGTGGTCTTTGACTCCCTCTCCACCAGTGTGTCCTCTATAAACTGAAAGTGTGCCTTAGGTGCTTCCTTCTGAAATGCGGTAAATATTTAGTTTCTTATGTATCCAGGCAAAGCTGAGGACAACAATCACTTTATAGGAAAAATAATAAATAATTTAGTCCAGTCCTCTTTCAGTGCACACAGTGCAGTTCCTTTCAGGACTTTTAAAGAAGAGTAACAGGGCAGCCACAGACCTACAAGCAAGGACAAATCAATGCCTACAGTATCTGTTTCAGTAAACAAAGTACAGCCACTTGAACATGCACAGAAACAACACTGAAAATTCATATTCAATGATTTCTCGACAGAAGAAGCTTTAGAAAATAAATAACTTTTGGGTATTTGACAGTCATGCACTTCTGACTCCACCTATAATACACCCATGAACTACAGCTTCACACTAGCTTCTAGCTAATAACACTTGAAGGTCCTGCTTGTACAAATACAAACAGCAGGAAAGATGCTACAGCTCTATACAGACTACCTTTCACATGAAGTCTTTGGGCGTGCACACATTCTGCTTTAAGGTCAGCTGAGCTCATTCCAAATGTTACAGGATCACCATGAGCACTGTATTGATTATACTGCAGGAAAAGGACATTTTGTCCCAATTTCCAGCTAACCACATGGCCTGTACATTTCACTCACACTCCATTCCCACCACATTCATAACAAAGTTCAGGGCTAAAAGAGAGGAGAGCAGAACTTATATCAGCTACATGAGGAACAGCAGGACCATAGTCGTCGTCTTGCAATTTCTAGTCTGCCATCTTCAAGCATTAAGGAGGTGAGATCTGTCTGGATGTTTGGGGGGTGCACAGTCTGGATGCTGAAGAGTATCAGGTCTCAATAGGGTGCCGATGACAGTATGTTATCTACCAAAAGCCATGTAGCATGGGACATTTCCTCACGTTAATGAGAGGCCAGGAGGAAAAGGGACTATTTAAACCCCCCACAAATGACCTGGATCAGGATTTTTTTCTTATCACCCAAGTCCATCTCTTACCTTCAGCCCCCTGCCTGTTCTCCTGGGCCTCACTTGATGCTTTCCATCATTTGCATAGAGGCTTTCAGATAAAATGGTGCAGCAATTGCTCTACTGGATTCTGTCCTTGGCATTGCTTATGCCTAAACTGGCTGTTTCCTAGTGCCAGAAGGACTGAGATAGTGGCAGCTCATCATGTCCCACTTCTAAGAGCACTTGGTGCACCCTTTCCCAGCCACAGGTCAGGCCAGCAGTGTATCCCCAGATATTCTGCCAATTCAGTCAAGCTTCTCTGTCACACCAAAGTAAATCTAGAGAAGTTTGTACTCAAGAATTCTAGTGGTCAGTCAGCAAATACCACCTCAGCAAACAAACACCGCTTCAGCAGACACCCCACTTACGAGTATGTTATTTCACTTAATCTCATTTTCAAGTTTTCCCTAGGTTCTGTTGGAGGACACTTCCCCACTTCTCCTACAGGTGTAGGCTGCTAAGGAGATAGAATAGTACAGTGACTAAAAGCATTTCCAATTAACACCACATTGAATCATCTAACAAAAGACACATGCGAGTCTAGGCTTAGGGGCTGTCATGCATGTCTTTGTGACAGTCACACAAATAACTCACACAAAGCCTTCCCCTAGAAAAAACAACACCAAGTCTCACAGGAGAATAGTAATGAGATGAAATTATGTTTGTCTTAGCTGAGAAGGATGATTTCAGACTCCATCACACCCTGCACATGGCAGTCTTGCAGAACAGAACACACCACAGTCAGTGCCTTAGACATCACCTTCCGTGCCCAAGAGCGGAAATCCCTGTTGGTTTGCACTGAAGGCTTGTACCTTTAAAATGTGATTTTTAAAATGTGGTTAGGGACAAGGAAAATGTGAATTTGATTATGGTTGGGTCTTCCACCCCAAAGAGCAACAGTCGAGCATCAGTGCTCATAAGTTATCGCAAGAATTTTTTGTTGAAAATCCACCTACATCCGCAACTCAGAGACCGCAGCTTTAAGCTATGTAGAACTAGGACATTCCCTGTTGAGGGGCCACTCTGACACATACTCCCAAATCCCTGCCTGGCCACACACCTGGATTTCTTCCTAGAAAATAAACTAGAAAAAGGGAGAGGGGCAGGGAAGGAAGGTGGAAAGTAGTGCATGCTCTGACCTAATCCTGACAGCAGAGCTGGGACACAGCCAGGGTACGGTCCCAGATCTCACAATATAGATAAGCGTTAGTCATCTGCCTGCGCGGCCAATGAACTCTTTGTCTCATACTGTACAACAGATAAACCACCCAACAGATGAGCTGAAGCTTTCTGACAACAGCTCGAGCATTGACTACATCCAGATTTTGGCACCCACATAGAGGCTTTACTTCTCCAATGTGCAAAGCACCAGCTGCCTCACTCCCCTCAAAAATGGCCGGACACTGGTCCTTGGAATGAAAGTTACTATCGATTGTCAGATACTGGTGACTGCAGAGGCTCACCAGCCAGATGTTAGTCCCCCCAAAAAGAGCTGGGGAGTTTCAGAGCAGGACAGAAGTACATCAGGAGAGCTAAGGAAAGATGACTACACATGGCCAGATTTGGGTGGGGTGCTGTATGTACTGAGTGACAGAAAAGTGTCAAATCCCCACCTAAGCCTCTCCAAGTACTGCAGAGGGTCTTACATATTATTCCAAGATACATCTTTGAGGGGGGATGCAGCTTCAGAACAGGGCAAGCACACAGAGATGTAAAGAGGTTGCCTCTGGGTTGCACTCACTGCTTTGGTTTGTTTTGGCAGTAGCAGAGAAGCCAGCACCATACACCAACGTGATCATGCCCAGTCTCTTCAGCATCATCTGTTTCCTGGGCATTGTGGGGAACCTCATTGTCATCTACACTATCGTTAAGAAGAAGAAGCTTAGATGCAAACAGACAGTGCCTGACATTTTCATCTTCAACCTCTCCATTGTGGACCTCCTCTTCCTCCTGGGCATGCCCTTCCTCATCCACCAGCTCCTAGGCAACGGCTCGTGGTACTTCGGAGCTCCCCTATGCACCATCATCACTGCCCTGGACACAAACAGCCAGATCACCAGCACCAACATCCTTACCGTGATGACACTAGACCGTTACCTGGCGACTGTCTACCCTCTAAAATCTACCTATGTCCGGACCCCATGTGTTGCAGCTCTAGTTATCTGCTTGGTGTGGCTCCTCTCCTTCCTGACCATCATTCCTGTGTGGATGTATGCAGGTCTTATGCCTCTGGAGGATGGGACCGTCCGCTGCGCTCTCTTGCTTCCCAACCCAGAGACTGATATCTACTGGTTCACCCTCTATCAGTTCATGCTGGCATTTGCTGTGCCGTTGATAGTAATCTGCGTGGTTTATTTTAAGATCCTCCAGCACATGGCCACCACTGTGGTCCCACTGCCACAAAGGAGCCTCCAGGTACGTACGAAGAAAGTCACCCGCATGGCAGTTGCCATCTGCTCTGCCTTTTTTATTTGTTGGGCTCCCTTCTACATCCTCCAGCTGGTTCACCTCGGCATTGACACACCATCCATGGCCTTCTTTTATGCCTACAACTTTGCCATTAGCTTGGGCTATGCCAACAGCTGCCTCAATCCCTTCCTCTACATTGCCCTCAGTGAGACCTTCAAGCGCCAGTTCTTAGTGGCCATCCGCCCCGCAAAAGAGCCATGTCGCAACAGCAGCTCTGTCAACAACAACAGCATGACAGAGGCCAGCATGTGTCTGAAACTGGCACCAGAATCCACCCAGCAGACTCAGTTTCTGGAGGACTTTTCCCCACATTCACTGCCTGTTACTGTGGCTGTTCACTAGGGCACTCTGAAGTAACCACAGCAGAAAGCCTTCATACCCACGAGTCGATGGAGAAGCAGCAGCTTCAGGCAGTTCTTGGTGAAGTGTATGAACCACAAGCTTCCACCTCCAAGAGTCCAGGTGCCCCCTTTTTACTTGCAGGGCTCTGCTCCTACACTGCCCTTGGCCTACGAGATGCTGCTTCCTTCCACTCCTGCACAGGAGGACTCTATCACACAAGACACTGGGCACCCAGAGAGAAAGGAAAAGAGAGAAAGGACAGAAAGAGGAATATTTACCCTGGAGGAGTAAAACATCTCTCAACACCACTACCCAATGATTCCTCCCCTCTCAGCCTGACTGGGATTCCCAGGCATCATGTCACTATAGAACTTCTTCATTCAAAACTCAAATCTTTGAAACAGTGTCATATATTTATTTTTTATACGAAATCTGACCTGCAAACTTTGATGGCTGTGCTCATATCCTAGAAGCAAACAGCAGAGAGATCCTGGGGCCAGAAATCTCACCTGGTCTGTTGCTTGGCTTTTTTGGTTCAGCCCCTTCTGCCTCCAGTGAGCTGTGTTGTTTGGCAACCAAGACGTTTTCAATAACTAGCTAATTTTGATGCTTATCCTAAATATTTCAAACAAAATCAGGCAGATAATTGCACTGCTTCAAGGGACTGCAAACAATTCTCCAAACTACTGCTGCTAACACCAGCTTTGTGGCTTTTCATGCCAATGAGGAGATTTTCACACCGCTAGTTCCTCATGCTGCTCTTGTGCCTCGCAGTCTGTGTAGCCATTGGCGAACCCCAGGCAGAGGGTTTTAAAAAACCCAATGTGCAGAGATCTGTGGAGCAAGAAGCTGTGAAAAGGCAGCTCTGAGGAAGCAGAGTTGTTTATGCAGCTTTCTCAAAATAACAAGTACTTTACAAAGTTTAAAGAGGGTAAATTAAATGTCTGCATTTTGTATATGTGGCTTTAACAGTCAGAGGTTAGGAAATAACTTTGCTTGCTACAAAGACTAGAGAAAAGACAGCACAGGTCAGCTAAATGCAGTGGATTACACTGAGCGCCTGCACAGGCATTGTTCAACACTTTGTCAAACATGGAGGAACTGGTTACTGTAGATGAATTTAATATAAAGAGGAATTAAAACCATAAAACAGCACGAAAGAATTTGTTACCACGCTTAATGGTTTCATGCCACTGGTCACCCACAATATACCCAGAACAGATTGATTCACCCTCATACAGGTACACAGAAAAACTGCATCACCTGCGCAGGACTAAGGCACATGCACACTTATAGGTGCACCTAGCACAAACACCCCCCACACACTCGTAGGTATTTTTAAGTACAGCCAATGCTTTGGCCTACACCATGTAGAAAACACACACAGCCATTAACTCACCTCAAGCAATCAAAGCAGGCTGGTGTGCCACACTGATTCTTTTGACATCGTCAGATGCAGAGCACTTCACTTCTCAAATCATTGAACAAACCTCCTGACAGGGTGTCTCTGTATTTTCATCCCAGGCTCTGTCACACTGCACGCAGCACATCCACACTGCGACTGTACGGGATCTTGTCAATTTTTCACCCCCGTGTCCCTGGGCAATAAAGCCAGACAAACACATACAGAGCTTTCAAGCTTTTTGACTTTAAAATCTTTGTCCCATTTTAACTGTCAGGAACGTTCACCTGTTGGTTTTCAGGGAGCTGCTTTGCTCCTTGGTCAGTACTCTCCCCAAAGGGCTTGGGAGTGAAGATCAAGGAAAATGTGAGTTGTGCCAAACCAGACTTGCTCTGAGAATGAGGGAAGCTATTGTGTTACCTTTCCCCCATAAGGAAGTTAAGGGGAGGACTGGCACCTTCTCTGTGAAAGGATGTGGTAACGGCTGGGTGGGTTTTTTCCCTCCGCGAATATCAGCAATGAGGAAAGTGAAAACAGACTGAATTGTCAGAGCTCTCAGAGAGCAGCACATTCAAGATATTATCTTGCTTACACAGTAAAGGTCTTTATGGCTGAACTAGTCTGTTCCCATCTGAAGTGAGTCAGTCTGATCCAGAGTGGCCAAGACATGTGCTAAAAGCCACAGAGACACCATGGGCTAACCAAGAAGGGAAGCCAGAACCATCTGGTGCAACACTCAAAAGGGTCTTTGTGGGGTAGACCTTTTCCAGATCTCATCACACTGCAGTCAAGGCACAGTACATGGGCACCTTCCCATGTTGAAGTTCTTTTAGATGTGAGGTCAAAAGCCATACTAGAGAGACCTGGTCCCAACACCAGGGACAAGGCTTCCCATTTATCTGATGTCCCAGCAGAGGCACCTGCCCCTTCCTACTACCCTGCAAAGGCTCATGGTTTCCATTCCTTCATGTTCCTCCTGCCTGTCCCCAAGGGGTTCCTAGTCCAGATGTCTAAATACTGGCTGTGGAGTCCCTCCCTTTCCCTGTACATCCATAAAAGCTGTGGCAAACACACCTCAGGAAGACAAGGATGTCGATGCCTGTGGATGTGCTGGGAGGTTGGGAAGAGAGGTACAGACAGTGAGAAAACTAGCAAAGAACACAGACAACATATGACTTTTTCCCATCTTCCCTAAACCACCCCAAAGCACAGAACAAGATGAACAAAAGTCTCTCCTTTGAAGACAAACTAATCAAAGGCTCTCAGGAGCATCCTCCTACCTAGGGGGTAAGGTAAGGCCTTTCTAGGAGCTAAACAGTCTTTGTGTACCTTGGTGTGACCTGCTCCAAATATCCTTCCCCTTTTGCCTATTTTTCAGAACCAGCTTTGTTAAGTTGAAGAGTCTGTTGATGTTCTGGTTTGTGTTCAGCTTTACATCTTTGTCTATTCTGCTTTGTATTATGCAATTCCCCCTGTCTCAGTGCCTTGGTTACTGATGGCAGAGCCCAAATAAAAGGCATCGCTAAGCGGAAAAGGACCCAGCTACTCGCACAGAGATAGGCAGCTGAAGTGCTGCAAGGTCTCTCTGAAAGGCGCGATGAGAAGGGCACAGAGATAATGCAGCATGTTTCCCTGCAGTCCTGACTCCCATGCGCAGCCTGTTGTCTCTCTTGCTTGGGAGAAACTAAAGGAAATCTAAATAACCAGAAGGAAAACCCCTCCAAAACCAAAGGGTAACAGAAAGAAACTATACAATCTAGTTGTTTGGATCAACAGCCCGCTACACTGGATGAGACAAATTTCCTCATATTTTTCCAGCGCTTCTCCTGTGTGCTCGCCAGCTGCTTTGTCAGACAGGAGGAAGACAGATGGGTTCACTCTCCACCCCCTCCTGTTCCCCTCCTTGTCCTTAGAGGTGTGACTGAAGCCACATGTCACAGCTCTGCTCTCGATAAAGTCCCACAAGGGGCAGATGGTCCAGTTACTTTTACTCCTACTTTCCCAGCTAGTGACAGAACCCTCCTCAGCTGGTCACTGCAGGATTAAGTCCCCAGTTCACCCTTCTCAGTTGCCTCTTTTCCACTATCCACATCCCTGTGTCCACACTAGGTAGTAAAATACACTCTTGCCATCCCCACAGTCACAGCTTTGCCAAGCCAGCCCTACAGACAAGCTGGAGCTGAGGTGCCCGAAGCCTTGCTAGGCAGCAAGCTAGTGACATTCTGCCCTGGCCACCCTTCTCAGCCTGAAGCCTCTGCACAGCTAAACCTGCCCAGGAGCAAACTGCAGCCACGGTGGAGAGCAGGCACAATGCTGGCGGCCACCGGGTGGGGAGGAGGGAAAGGTGAGGTGACTCACTGGCCCATGGGACACAGCCAGAACTTGACTAATCATGTTTCATCAATCCTCCTGGGCTGCTAATTGGATGCATTTCATTCAACAGACTCACCGGTGGGAGAGGAGCCACGTGGCAGGTACGGATACATTCCCAGCCCACTTGCTTTGCATTAGTCCTCCTGCCAGATGCAGGGACCACACAGCAATACCCTTTCTTGCTCACCTCCCATTAGTAGACCAACACAACTAAACCCTGACACTCCCCTACAGCCTTACCACTTGCTCCATCCCTGCTGCAGGGCTGGGGAGGAGGCACCACAAAGTCTCATTAACAGTAGAGAAGGGGCAGGGATGTCACACCTACAGCCCCCATCTCCCACTGGAAGGCTCCTCCAGCAGATGGGGGCCCTTCAGTGATTCCAGACAACAGAAGATGTAATTCGAAGCTGTATTTACAGGGCAGCACTTGAACAGGGAACTCACTGCATCACTGGAGGGAAAACCTTTACTAAGCTATTATAATAGATCGTGATTGCAGGAGGGCACAGGAGATGATACCTGCTCTTAGACCCTTTGTGCCCTACCCATATCCCATTTGAAAAACAGCTCCTACAATTGTACAGGACCCAACAGTTGTTCCTACAACATCTTTCTACCAGTTGTGTTGGCTATGGAAATTGCCACTCCTGATCTCCCAGTCTGGCTCATGGGAAGGCAGCAGCTCTGGCTTCTCCTGAAGGGTAGACTTGGGCTTCAACAACTGCAAAGTTACACTTGAGAAGTGGTTTATTTCAGTATGAGGCATGATGGTACACAGAGTAGTTCTTTCATAAGCACTTCTGGACATGCTTGAGGACAAGCAGGTTAGAAAAGCCTCCAGGGTTGTCAGCTCAGTACCTTTCATCATCTCTAGATGTTGCTGGAATAACAGCAACACTCCCTAGGGTCAAGCCTTTGTATGAAGTATTCCTCCAAAACGAAGTCAGACTGTGTCAGCATTACCCTCCCCAAGAACAGCAGCTGAACAACAAAAGCACCACTGAAGGCTCAAGGTCCTGTCCTGCAGGTCCATACAGGGTTAGTCCCCTGGAAATGAGTGTCAAGCTCTGCCCACTGCACCACAGTGAGTTTGAGTTTATACCACAGCAGTCAGAGGGTTTCTAGCACCACAGGGAGCAGACCCTACCCCGGGTACTGACTGCATGAGAAAAGATCTGCAGGGTCTGGCTCCACAGAAGCACCTTTGGGGCAGGGACTTTTCCAAGTTTCAGTTGAACAGTGACATGCACAGTTTTGGTTTAGGCTTTAAACCTTATTTCTTCCACTTAAAAGTAAGTTAACAGATGAGTCAGCCCTTTCCTCCAACCTGTGCTCTTGGAAGATCCCCTACAGGTTTCCACCCACAGGGTAGGCAGGCTGAGAGTTAGTGACATCATTTTAATTATTCTGGTGTTTCGTTATTATTAAGTTGCCTTTACTAAGTCTGAAGGAGCTCTTACGATTATCTTCCTACACAAGCTGCTGGAAGCACAACAGCTTGGCAACACAGGGCTGCTGTGCCCTGCTCCATCAGACACCTCAGAGGAAAAAGCAGAGCCCTTGTTAGGCAGCCACAGCAAGAAGAGTCCTGCCTCATCCAGGACCAGTGCTTCTCACATCCCACTGCAGACTCGGGGGTGCAGTCTTCTACCTTTTCTCCCCTGGGGTTTGACCACAGAAAGCCAAACACTATCATTTCTGCATACATTTTTGGCATAGAGCACTCAACAGGGATAAGCATGATGATGGAAATGGCAGGTGAAATTATCACTGATGAGAGCTACTTAAAGCTCCTATCATCTTATTCCATTAGAGGTTGGTTCTTGCTGTCTTCTCCAGCAGCCAGGTCCCTCCCACTGAGAAATGGAAACAGGTTTTAAAAGGAGCAGACTGTTCACATCAGGGTTCCCTCTGTCTTCCTTCCTGTCTGCTCATAAATGAAGATGTTGGATTTCAAATTGCACAAAGCATTTTGGAGATTTAAATTCCTCCCCTCCCTCTTTTTTTTTTTTTTTAAAGGTCAAGTCATTACAACCTCCTAGACCATAATTCCCAATTTAGACCTCCAAATGCTCTGGCAATGTAAGTTTGTCATGTTATCAACATGGAAATTGCTTCAGAAGAGAAAGAGTAAAATGTCACCTCTCAGAGTGAGAACAAGTTGCCTGTTCTTTGCTTTTATTCAAGTCCAGATACTTTTCCCCAGCCAACCACTGCCACTGAAGAAAGCACAGAAACATTTGCTCCTGGGCTGAGATGCGTTGTGCCAAGCCATGGCCCCCAGCCAGTACTGACACAATCTCTAGGT